TCCTCTCGCTTCCCACTGTAGCCAGGGAACCGGAGTCATTGTTGGTATGACCTATGCCTTCCCACCCTCCGCAGTCACCTAGTCCCACCCTAGTCCAGCCCAGAGGATGTGGGGGGAAGGATACACCACCACACCTGCAGTTCAAGAAAGAAATAAGAAATCCAGTACAATTCTGGAAATGGAAAAACATGGGCCTTCTTTTACCACATTGAAAGACATGACATGTACACCTACCAAGCCTGCTTAAGAATACCACAGGAAGTCATGTTTTCAGCTGTGCAGCATTTTGCCTGAGGGTGATGACAGGGATAAAAACATCTCTCCTTTCCTTTCTTTCCTCCCAGAACAAGCCTGATCTCAAAGAAATGAACTAACTTACGAAAGAAATTGTTTTAAGGGACTATTTCAGCTTAGCACATTTCTCATCAAAACCATGGCTTTGTTTATGTCCAACTTCTTGCGACAGAAGGATTTAATGAAAAGAAACTTGTATTACTTAAAACCATTGCCATGCTGTCCTGTGTGTTTTGTAGCATCACTCCTCATTTTTTCTGTCTGCTAAGTCTGGATAAATAATTTATCCAGAAATAAAATGAGAAATGATCCCTCACCTCTGTTGCAAATTAGAAAGCCCTTTCTGTGAATCTTTGAAATTTACCTTTATGGTTCCTTTAGGGAACCACAGTACTCCTAGGGACAGCTTTAATATGGCCATATCATTTTTCATTGCAACAAAGAACCCTTATTAAAAAACACCAATGATATTTAGAACATTACGCAAAGGAATACACATCAAAATACCTTGAACGATGGTTCACCAAAACCTTGAAATTCATAGTACTGCCCAGTCCTTGTTTGGGTGATATTTTTGAGTCTTTTTTCCGTAACTAACTGATGTGCTGCTGAAACATAAACATAAGACACAAAGAAAGACAATATAGTCAATAGGATCTCACCAGCACTGACCAGTTCTGACAGTTTAGTGTGATTTTGATTTTGTGTTTTTGGTCTGTCATTCTACCAACAGTCATCATCTTTTACCTTCTGTCCTTCAGCTTCCTAATGCATCATGTCCATGCCACTGCTCTCCTTGTGCAGAGCTGTTCATGTTTAGTGTTGTGGAAACAAAAGTCAGAACCAACCAGTCTGCCTGAAAGAGTGAAAAGCCACGTTTTTAAATAAAGCTAAATCCTGTGCCTGTTACGGTACTGCAGTTAAGCAGAGGAATTCCTTTAACAGCTATTTTTGCCATTACCATGAATCTGAAGCAGCGGTGGTGTTTTCTGGTTTCTGTTGTGTAACTTCAATATGCAACCACCTCTCCAAGATGAATAATTTGGAATCCACACATGCTTTGCACTTTCAAGATAATTTGATCTGAATAGCAGTTTCATGTAAATATTTTGGCAATAACAAAAATATTCTTTTTGATTGAAACACCAGACTGAAACACCAATAGCTATTTTACATGATGACAATGAAAAAGGATGATAGGCAGGTTAAAAAGCATTAATTCTTCTGTCTGAAATGGATACTTTCTCACTGAAAGGTTTGAAAGCAAATCTGCTTTCAACAGGTTATTTCTGTATTACCGTGATACCATCAACATCTGTGCAGCTACCTCTCTTCTGTGGGCAGGCACTGTTCAGGGGAGCTTGAAGGGACACAGCTCTTGCTTACTTCACCCCACAGCTGTGAGGTAAAATGGGATACAATATTCAAAGTGTTAAATAAGGGGAGGAGGTGAATGAAGAATGATAACAAAAGCAGTAAGGAAATTTCTCAAGTGATTTGAGAAGGCTGTCTGGTGCAGGCTGGATGTTTGATTATGTATGCACTGGATACCCATTTCTTTCCACTTGAATAATACATGGGAACTGAGAACTGTTTAAAATACCAAAATGAGAAATGAACATGTTCTGAAAATAAAATCTGGAAGTTTCAACTCTGTCACCTCTAGGAAAGCCCAGGGGAGGGATAGGATTGCTACAACTAGGGGAGGCCTGCTTTTCCTTATTTGTTATCATTTAACAAAATCTGAAGGCATCGTCTTTTGCAGAAAGCACGAAACAATTCCTATGCAGCTCCAGGGCCATGCAGAGGTTATGATGCCCATTTCACTCATGGTGTTAAACAACTGAGGGCTTTAGGATCGTACTGGGACTGTACTGAGTCACCAAACATGGGATGAGAAAAAACAAAAGAACCCAAGTACATGTACAGTGGAGTGTTTCTGACTTAGTAACAGATGAAAATATAGTGCTCTTTAGCTGCCTTCTCCCTCCACAGTTCTCAAATTCAACTGGTTGTGTTTCACTGCTGGGGTGATTTCTTAAGGTTATATTGGGAGCACATGGTCAGCAAGCAAAAAATTCTAGCCCAAATGTTCCTGTTAATTTGTGCTTAATTTTTGTAACCTAATCATTGTGAATCACTGTTGTATTCTCAGCTCTAAGTCTGCTTGGAATTAGTCACCTGAAGTTTTTTGCAAATACTCCAGTGCCCTATTGAGAAGGACTAGTGTACATGTTGTCTACATCCTAACAAACACAGGTCACTGAAAAATAAAAGGATTGCCACACATGGCATATATACAAAACAATGTTATGATGTCTGCATCTGGGAGACAGATTGTAGCTGCCACTTGAGTCTTGGGATGAGGCAACACAAGCAGTGTCAGGAGCTGAGAGGTCCTTGCCTTATATAGAGTGAAATGTGGTGTCAGTGACTTCAGTAGCAAAATTGTTAATGACTTTTGTGTTTTGCCCAAGATGCATTGTTATTCCCCATATATAGAAGCAAGTATTTTACCAGAACAAGCATGATTTTTGCTAATCAGGGAATATGTAATCACTTAGGCAATTTGTAACAAGATCTATGAAATGTGCATCTCTGATTTCTATTTCACAGGTCTTTGTCTGTCCAATGCTGCTTGTTATGCAAACTCTGAAGACTGTTAAATATTGCTTTATTAACTTGCATGCAATATTATGAATAGTATGTTTGGAAAGGACTTAGGAATAGATCTGGCTAAAGTGCTACAGCAAATCTTTCAAATTAATAAAATTCACTAAATTAATACAATTAATAAAATCTTCCAAATTAATAAAATTCACTAAATTAATACAATTCATTACCATTTCATCATTAATACAATTAATTACCAATTCACCAAATTAATACAATTCACTACCACAACTGGACAACTGTTAACTTACTTTAATCAATTTGTTCTTCCAGTTTAACACCTTCTACCCCTCCTGCAAGGTTTTGTTCTTAAAGCTTCCTCCATTTTCTCCCTGTTTGTATAAAGGAAACATCCAGCATATCAAATGGCTAGCAGCACTCTGTTTGCTTTCTCAAGTTTAAACTCAGCTAGAGTTCTCAACTGAATATCCTGCTTGTTTCAGTGCTGTTATCATTAAACCTGCGCTTTGCAGAGATCCTGTCTCCCATCTGCAGGCTTGTGAGAGCCTGTCCATAGCAAGTTAGCTCCAGAAGTGCAGTTGTAGCATTCTCAGTGGTGTGTGAGAGCTGGGACACCCAGCCAAAGCCTTCAGCACCCCTGAGCCCCACCTGTAGCCACCTTCTAATGGGCTTTTCAGACTCATCTGTGCTTTAAGGGAGCCTGATCCACAACAGGGGCCATCCTTCTGGGGATTCACAGAAGGTACAGGCTCATCCCTACACTTGGGGAATACTGATCAGGAATTGAAATGATTGAAAAAACAGAACTTTCCAAAGCCCATTTTTATTGTGGGTTTGTGTTTTTTTTTTTTTTGTTTGGGTTTTTTGTTTTGTTTATTTCCCTTTGGCTTACCTCATTCTGGGTTGATATTTACAATATAATCCTTTCTTCATCTCTGCTTTTAATACAGCTGTCAAGAGTCAACTGTGGAAGATATTAAATCTTCTCTCCCATTGCTGCACTACCAAGGATTTTTCACTGAAAACATGGTCTTTTTGATTTTAGTTATTTGGGAACTCTTCTTGTGCAGCTTGTATCTCAGCAGAAAACCTAACGATCTGCTTGTGCTTACTAGGAAAAATATATTGTCACCTTGCCAACATAATTACATTGGTGAGTTAGGGAATAATGGGTGAGAACAGATGAAATATTTTGATATAAATAGTCTGTTTTCATGTGCTGTGATTGTCGCTAATAAGGCAAGGACATGTGGTTTGTGGTTCAGGAACAGGATGAGGAAACAGGACATCTGGGTTCCTTTCCCAGCTTTACCGCAGCTTGAAGAAGTCATCAAGCCTCTTTGTACCCCATCAGTTGGAAGTGGATAATAAATAATGCTCTGGGGACTAATTCTTTAATGCTGTAGTTTTCAGATGTTCAAAAGGGAACAGCGATACAAGTGTGTGATTTTTATGTACTGGAAATTGGTGCAGCTAAAACTTTAAATCTGGATACCTAGAAAGTTTGTAAATTAATTTATCCTAGCTTGACTTTAGGTATCTGACCCACCTGCCATTTCATAACAATGATAGAAAGAGGAAAATTAAAAACCAGTACAAAAGGTTTGAACAAAATCCTGACTGAACGCCTTGGGATCTTAAGTTTTCTGTGACAAATTTTTCATCATTTACACCCAAGTAACTTGACACCCATGTTTATGAACATCTAAAGTGGTTTGAGTAACAATGGGAGTGCTACATACCTAACAGGGAGACTGCAATGATTTTCTTAAAAACTGCTATGTACTCATTTGTTCAAAGCCTATAAACTACTTGGGTCTTAACTCACAAGGCTTGGCAGGATTTAGGAAGGATCTACAGCAGCCATCTACAAAGGGGCATGTTTCTCCTAGTCTGTGTGCATTTTGTTCACTGCAGCTGTAACTAATAATTCACTAAACTATAGATTAAAAGCATGTAATTAGCATGAAAGTAATTAAAACCAAGATTCATTCTACCTACGAGTAAATAAGCACATTTGACATGTAAGTCAAAGTGGAAAAGAAATATTTTTTGGTTTTTTTTCTGTTTTTTTTAGTGTGCATGTGCTATAAGAGAGTCTCAAAAGCAGAGCTGCTGCTTTGGGTTAGGAAGAACAAAAGCCTGTGCTAGGGATTTGAAAGCTTTGAGTTTAAATCATGAGAACAATTCATTTGCGATGAGCATTATATTATTCTAGGGCTTCCAGCACTTAGTTGAAATAATTTTAGTAGTAAAACTATAGTCTGTAATGCAATAATAATTTCTTATCTGCTGATGGATGCTGGGTGTCAGATGGTTGTATCTATGTTAGAAGGCTAAAGAGCCAAATGGGAGCAGAGCTGAAGTCGGAAACGAGGACCCCACATTCATATTGTATGCGTGGCTATGTTTTTCAGTCTGGTCCCATGTGCCGTCTGGCTGGAGCACAGGAATTGTCCTCCTGGAGTACCTTTCCAACACTGGTTTCACCCACAAGTCTGGTTCATACACTCTGACCTGCAGTGAGACGATCAGGAGATTTACTTCAGACCAGCACTACTGATCTAAACTAAAATGACAACCACCCCTCACCCTATTTGTACCTTTATCACTGAATGAGGGCAGTACAATGGCTTGATTTGTGCACAGAATCCGGCTGGCCAAGCAAGACTGAGCACAAATCTCCCCTTGCTTTCATCAAAAGGCAGGCAAGGCTTTGCTCTAAATCACTGCAGTTGACAGTGGTAAAGTACCAGCTGAAATACTATGTAGTGTAATTCCAGACTTTTTTGAAAGAGGTTTCTGGCCATGTGTAAGAGAAATTGGCTTCAGTTTGTAGATTTTATCTCATTTGAGAACATTCTTAAGAACTGATGGTCTACTGCATATTGGCACAGGACGTACAATTTTAAATAGGGAGAATTAGCTCTTTATCACTCTAAGCTAATACCATGTTTTCTGTGATACTGAGGGAAAAATGAATCTCCTGCTGCACAAGAAACGCTTCAGGAATTTGCAGCAATTTATTTTCTAATTGACCTGCACATTAAAGCAGAAAACACAAGCCTATGGTTAACTAAGCCCTTCCCCTCTCCTATTCCCAGTCCTTGCTTTCACCAGGAAAAACGTGGGCACATGGGCTGTCAGGAAATCTTTACACATCCTGTTGGGCTCCCCAGTAAGGAGATGCAGGGAACAGCATCCCAGGGCTCAAGTGGAGACAGAGCAGTTTGTATTCAGAGCCGTAGAATGTTATGTCAGAGCGGGTGAAAACTGGTGATCTGCCACCTGAGGTCCCTCTTCCACCTAGAATGTGCTCAGGGGTACAGGGAATAGTACCATGAGGCTCATCATCTTTCCCATGAAAATTGCATTCATCATGACTTGCATCATCTTGTCTTTAACAGTAGCCTCCCTGAAAAGGCACAAACCAACATACACACACCTCTAGATGAATATCTGTGTATGCAAAGTCACGTAAAAGATTTTTTATATTTATGTGGTGAGACAAAGCAGCCTGAGCAACCAAAAGATTTAGCTACAAAAGTTCCTTTTCCTGAGTAGCATAAATCCCACTAGTAGTAATTTCATCTAGAAATGGAAAGCATGGGCATTACATTATTTGAGCACAAGGGCCAGATTTCCCTGGTTGCCGTTTAGACCCTAACTCATATAAATGCAGCAGGAGAAACCTAAAATGATTTTGTTTCCTACTGGTATTAATTCCATTGCTGGAGAAAATGTAATTATATCTATATTGACATTATAATAACAACTTTACAGGCCAGCCTTCATTCTGTCTGTTAGGCCAGATATAAATGAAGCACCAGTGGAGACCTAAGGAATTCCTCAGTGTTCCTCGGTGGTGGTGTGTCTGGCCCAGCTGGTAATTTTAGCAGTAAGAGGAAAGTCTGTTCTGTGAAAAAGATAGTTAAGATTTAATTTTGTCTTACAAACCAAACCTCTCCATTTTGTATTGATCACAGCATCCTCAAACAAACTCCATGTAGACTGTGCGATATGCAGAGTAGGTTTTTGTCCTATATAGCTGTAAAACTTCGAATCCCAACATAAAGCCTTACAGCAGTTACATGTGTATGCATGTACGTACTACAATGTGGGTTTAAAGAGAGGAGGACTGTATTCATCAAGAAAGTACCGATAAGGTCCAAGCTTTCATTTGTGTTAGTGAAAACAGCCATTTCTTCATAACAGACCTTGTTACTTTCTCCAACACAGCCCTTTTCATACCCAGCCAACTTGCCACGTTGTGTCCATGCTGTTGGGGATAATCAGCAAAACCTCAGCGGAGATGTGCCACTCAGGTGCATGTTAAAACGCTACATGTTTTAGCATTTTTAAAGAACCACAACAAATGCACATGCATTTATATGAATGGAAACTTGCAACATACTGTAAGCATTTCGCATGAGGTTTTCATTAACTTTGTTGTATGACAAAACTAACCTTCCTTGTATTATGTATGTGCTCGGTGCACATTATTACTATGAGAAAATGGCAAAGAAAGAAGTGTGCAAGATTTGTAAAGTTCTGGTGGGGAGTGGGGTCACCAGCCCCACGTTACAGGCTGACCTTGCATTTCGGGGAAGGAGAACCACATATGCATTTCAGTTACAGTGATGAATTTTTCAGCACAGAGCTGATACATGATCATGGCAGACTGAGCACTCTGAAGACACCTTGCTGTTGTGAACTGTAATTGCCTGCTGGCTGTGTGAGCCTGTCAGGATCACCTGCATACTGGAGCCTGGCACCATGTGACTTATGGTTTTGCTTGCTTATTTATCAATTCTCAGTTGCCCCTTATTAAAAGAGTCACCCTCCAGGAAAATGGAAGTTCTTTCCTGGAATTTAAGGAGGTGGGAATTGTAGTAATTCACTGCTGATACAGTCATTTCATACACAGTGGCACTTTCAGGTATTTATCCTGGCTATATTAATTAAATATGTTATGGTATATGTACCAACCTATCCTATTGCTTTCTCAAAGGACTTTATCAGTGTGAGATATTGCTAGTTATAAAATTTAGATAATACAAGTATTCATTACTTCTGCACTGCCTGCAAGAGAAGCAGTACCAAGGGAGGGTGTCTAAATGCAAAGGGCTGAAGGATTTCTTTTTCCTTATATAATTCATAAAGGAAACAAGTCTAAAGAGGAAATTATTTGCAAGCTGAAACTGAACTAAATTACACAATTAGAAGATAGACCTAAACAACTTATAATTTTCAAAACTTAAGACTTTGGGTGAGAAGAATATTCCAAGACAATCAGAACATGTGAATTTAACAGGTTAAGAAAACACCACCAAACACACACAAATAACTTCATGTGTGGGTCAACTAAACTTAAATTTCTTTGGCTTTTTCATCCATACTCATACACCAAGACAAAATTCATCGTTATGGTCTCTGTCTAAGCACATCAGCAGTCATTGCCAAAGCTAACCATTATGTGTGTTGTAGTTTTATTTTTCCTCATTTAACCATACAAAAGAGAGGCACCTGCTCTGATGTGCCATCCCATCTCCCTCTGCTTTCAGTGGGGAGAAAGAGGAAAAGGAAGAAATCTGTGCTGAGGATGGGATCACTCCTCCAACTATGGGAAGGAAAGTGCTGGCGTATTTGAAACTGAGTTTTCTCTGTTAACCTGAATTCTTATCCATCCCTATACCACACACATGAGTTTGGAAGGTGACTGTGGGACACTCAGATATGAGGGCAGAAAGGGGCATATAAGAGCCATTGATTGACTGTGCACTTCCCCATCCTCTGCAGCTGGACATAGCTGAGACAGTTTGCTGGTGTTCACAGTCCAAGCCCGGAGCACAAATTTGGCTGAGCTTGTTCTTTCCATTTTCATATTAAAAGTATGTCCTGTGCATGGTACTTCTGGCCTTCACCACAGAAAGGCCTTTGCAGGCAGGGGCCAACACCATCACATTTTTAGAAATGCTTCATAGAAGCTTGCAGATTTCACAAGCTTACATTGGCTTCAGCAGGAAGAATTTTATGTGCTTTACCTGTGTTACCTGAGGAAATACAGCTTCCAAATGGTGATTTTTTTTTTCTTTCCAAAATACAGTTATAATATTATGGGTGGAGGGGAATGCATCTTGGCACTGGACCAGAGTTTCTTAAAGGACACTTGAACCATTTTAGATAAGGAGCTCTCCCAGCTTGTTAGTTCTTAACTGTAAGTTTGGCTTTTGCTGAACTTTCAAAATTTGATTGGTTAAAATTTGATCTAAGAGTAAATTTTAGAAATATTAGATTAAATGCCTCTTCTTTGATTTACCACCACAGTGCCTTCTCTGCAGTCAGCTTGTATGCATAATGCAAACGTGATTTCTGAATGTTAACTGGATCATAATCTTGGAAAAAAATTCAAGAGGATTGTGCAAATATTGTAGAAAACCTCAGGATAAACACACACACACTCAAAGTAAATATAAATATTTGGAAAGAATAGCAAATAAACTTTGCTTATGCACAAGAACTCCCACAGTACTAACAGTATTCCATCATTTTCCAAAGTCCGAGGGAACCTGTGTATTCTTATAAATCATTTTGTTCAGTTCTTGGTGCTTTAGAGATGCCTGAATTGGTTAGTGAGAAAGATAGCAGTGATAACAATCCCTTATAGTTCCTTTTTTCTCCCTTTTTTTAAAGGGCAATGATACCACCAAGTGTATAATTCTGAAACCAACAGAATTGCCACAAACCCACTGCTATTAAAATCACATTTACTTGCTTTTTTTTTTGGTTGGTTTTTACCTGGAAAGGTTTAGGAAGTCAATTTTTAATATATAATGCATTCAGTTGATAACAGATGTAATAGGAACATGACTGAATTTATAACTAGTAAAAGCGCACAAATGGCAGGAATAACTCTTTAAGAATAAACATGACCGCACTGGCAAAGCTCTAAACTTACTGCATGAAATCTAACAGGAAGCCAGTAAATGAAAGTACCGAAGTTTAATATTATGGGTCATCTCTGTCTAGTTTCATTTGGAATTACATTTTTCTGCTTCCAGATTTAACTACTTCCATAATATGAAAAAATAACATGCGAGTTAGAAATGCATGCATCAATTTGAATAGAATATCAGGTAATGTAAACTTTACATTTTCATCATAAAATCAAGCCACATGGAAAAAAAAATACTTTGCCAGCTACTGGAAAACATTTTTCCCCATTTTTTTACACCTTACCGAAGCTGAGTGATTTATTACCAGTGCTGTAGCAATACTTCAGTGCAAGGGAGAACATTTTTGTAGGGATCCTGCCCTGTCCAGAATACTAGAAATGTCACAGCGGTGTGCCTAGAAGAGTCCCACTTCCTTTTCTAGAGGATTTAAATCCACATCTGTGCATTTGGTTGATCATCTAAATTAAACTGAGTATGGCAGAGACTTCCTTTAGCAGTTTCCCTGTCGCTAAAGGAAATGAGACTTTAATTTTGTGAGTCCAATTACAGGATGACTGTTTAGCAGCCAAATATCAGGTCACATGCAAAGTAAAAGACAAATCATATGTGTGTCTCTGTAGATCGTTTTTGTCTATTACATTTCAGTATTTCAGAACTGTACTGTATCATATATAAAGTCTTGTTCCTGAACTAGAGAATCCATAGTCCATCTATATGACATACCACAGAGATGAAGGAAAAAGCAGATTTTTTTCTAAAGCCCATGAATTCTAAAATAGTCATAATCTGAAGCACACATTGTGGGTTTATTCACTTCTTTTTTTTCCATATTATCTGGTGTGCCATCTCATTCAAGTACTGCTACTGCTACATCACTAGGACATAAAACTTATGATTAAACATGAAAAAATGAACTAGTATATATCGGTGGTTCAGGGTCTTAGCTGGGATGGATCATTCCTTCCTTCTTCCTTAGCAGAGATTTCTTTACAAGGATTTGCTGGGACAAGAACTCACCCTATCTCAGGTCTCTATCACCTTCATGCACTTTGTCAGCTACTTACCTCCTCTAATCTACTACAGAAATATTAAATACTACACATGAAGCATTTATAGGGATGTTCTTGTGTAAATATACAGGTTTGATATAGTCGGCTGTTTGAAAAACAAACAGGAAAAATGGAGAATGGCTGCATATAAGACATCTCACAGCAAACTTACAATATAAAATATGAGCTCTTCACAGAATTCCTATGTTTTGACCTCCACCACTTTAGAAAATTGCTTTGCCAAGACTGAGGGCCAGACAACCAAAAGGCTTGTGTTACCTACCATATTCATAAAACCAAATGAAAACTTGGCTGTGTGGAACTGTAGCATTCTGGTTGGTATTTGTAATATTTTGATACTGCTTTCTGTGGGGTACCATTTCTGCAAAAAAAAAACAACCCTAAATTTCTTTTTTCTGTATCAACTTCCTGTGAACAGGGTCAGCTTCCAGGCATTTATAGCACAGTGAATAAAAAATTAGTGGTATAAATCAGGTGGCTCAATTATTTCAAGAGAGCTGAGTCAACTGCCAGTAACAATTTTCCAAATATTTGTGTATGAGAAGCTATGAGGCAGGAACTCTTCTCTGTATGTGTGTTCACCTTAACCTGAACTTGGTTGTGATATGCTGAATTACAGAGGAGCTAGTACTTGGTGGTTAAGTCTGCATTTGCAGTCACATAAAGCATACAAGTGTCCTGGATTTGCATCTAAAACTGATGTTCGACATCTAACCATCCAGCCTACCCCAGTAGAACACTGCAGAATCAAACTCTGAGTCTTGTCTCTGCTTGGCACTGCTCAGTGCCACATGTGATCTTTGTGCCTCTATAAGTGCACGGAGCAGGTGTGTAAGATATCAGAAGAATAACATTGTGGTAACTTTGCACAAGTGGACATGACCAGAATAATGCTAAAGGCCAGGGGAATTAGGTCTTACGAGTATAAACGTTGAGTGAAAAAAATAATTTATGTTTGTTTGAAAGAGCTCAGTAAGGCATAAAGATGTTCAGGAATGTTTAATCCTAAAGGGAATGAGATTTATCAAAGCAATTTGAAAGGATAATACATTCATATCTGCTTCTGCAAGCAAAGAAAAGCCAAGCGAGTCCAAAGCATTAACACTTAGAAGCTATTTCTCATGTTGCCATCATATAAGCTATTGTTCATTTTGCTATTGTTACCTCAAGTTTGATGTCTCAGTGAAAGGCAAATCTGTTTCTGGTAAACTATTATTAACTTGCAATAAGCATTAAGTTTACATTTAAAGATTAAAGCAAACATATATATATTCAGTACATACCTATTGCTCTGCTTTATGTCCTTGCTCTTGATTTTACAACCCGTCATCACTGTGTTTCCCTCTTACCTTCTTAGTGAGTCCAGGAGCAACTGGAATCTGTACTGAAAAGAAAATGTAATTAATTCATGAAGTTTAAATACATAATGGACAAAACCTTCAAGCAGAGATCATCTCAGTTAGTATGGACCAGAGGAATTAGAAGATCTGTTACTATCAAACTCACTAGAGACAACGAAGCACTTTGCTAATTGTGTTGTTTTTCTCCCCTCTGAAAGTAGCTGTCACCCAAATGATCAAACCTTTCATAATACTTACTTAAGCGTAATACTTACTTACCTTTCATAATACTTACTTAACACTTACTTGTCATTTATCTGACAAATCCCAACACTAGGGCTCCCCAAACTTAAAATTGCAATTAATTGTGCCATGAGAGGGTAGAAAGTTGGCAATTTTTTTCATTTCAGGGAAAGGATCATTACTGTGATAGAATCCCTCTACTCTTTCCAGAAGTGAACCTGCTATACCTATACCCAAGCAGTCTGCACGTCCAAATACTGAAGTCTTTACTCATGACTGAACTCCATCATGTGCAGTTTTTTATACTTCCGTAAATCTGGCCCTTTGCTTCTGTTTGTCCTCTATTCCCTCTAAACTTTTTGACTGGGTAAAAACAAACACATTGTTTTGAAACCCTTACAGAAAAGTTTATTTTTACAAGTATTTTATGAAGGATTTAAGAGTATAGTTTTCAGGTCATGCTCTAAATAAAACAAGATTTTGTTTTGAATAAAACTCCCTATACCTTTATTATAAGGAGAAGAATAAAAGTATGATTCATTTCTTAGGACAGACTGCTACATACACCTGTAAGTAATTTTAACAGGTTATGAGCTGTTCATCTCTACTTACATGTAACAGGTTCTTCTGAAGTTGTATGCCTTTATGTATAAACAAGCACTTTGATGGCAGATTTACAGTCATTTTGCAAATGCTACTAAATGTAGCTATATGTAAAATATCTGAGCCTATTCCAGCAAACTACTGGGGAAAAAAAGAAAAGAGGACATCTGACAACTTGAAGAAATCAAGTTCATCTCCCTAAATGCTTGAGAACCATGCAATCATTAGAGGAAGCAACCCCTTGCAAGACCATTGACCATGTGAGGGTTAGGTATCACAGTCGTATTAGACTATTGCACATTCATGTGAGACATCAAAGACTACTTCAGGCTACTCATCATTTCTACTCATAAAACACAGCAAAGCTGTGATACTGGAAATGCTTAAATGCTTATGGATCTGTGTGTCCACTTCATGAACAGTGCTACTCTGTATCCCTGGTTTACAAATAGGGTATATCCTTGCTTTTGTGCCATACTATAGGAAGTTTAGGTAGGCTAAAAACTGTAACTGTATCTGGATTTACAAAAGACTTAACTGTAAACCTTCCAGTTAATTTCAATACACTCTTACCGGTTCTCCTAGATGCTTGATATCTGGAGAAACCTCATCCTCTGACCTTTGATTTTCCTTTTAATTGCAAATCGTAAGGTGAAAGCGTGGAGAATTATATTTCATTTCAGAGCACCTGTAGAGTTTTATGTTTGGTTTCTAATGCATGTAAAGTAAATTAATTGTAATTTATATAGTCCAGAAGTTTCTTTTTTCATGCTCTGCGGTGCACCATTAGTTTTATGGGGTATTAAACACTGGCTTGACTTAATACTAGGCTGTTTTGTTAAAAATGGTTTCAGTTTCCCAGTAAACTAAGTGGCAGAGCAATTCAAAACATATTGAATTAATTTAAAATATTAATATCCACAACTGGCTCTAAATCAAAAAGAATTACTCTAGACTTAGCCAGTTCTACTTCTGACAGTTCTTAGAATGTAGTAAAATATACTGCATATATTCACTTACTTTAAAACATTAAAACAACAATACAGGGACTGACAAAGTCTGTTTCTCCTCATGTCTAGGTCACTTCCTTATACAGGAGAAAATGGTCTTCTCCCTTCAATGCAAAAATAATCCTATAAATGCACTATGTCCCAGTGTGTATCCACTTTCTTGAACTTTTTGATTCTGCAATTAGATAAATCAGGCTTCCTAAATCAGACCTAAAGCTGCATGTACAACTTACTTTCAGTTCATTAGTGATGTGGGCCGTTAATGTCTTGGGACCAGATCCTCTAAACCTGTGCATGAATAGCTTCACCCCTAACCACTTGCAAGAGCTCTGGAAATGGCAAAAAGTGGTGGAACTGCACCATCCCCACCTTTCCAGCCATGCCAGGAACGTGCCAGTGCTGCTTGGCACTGGGTCACCATGGTCCCATTTTGGCAACCTTACCTTGCAGAGATCGAGAACACTTCCAATGTAGCATCTACATTGCAATTATTTGGTCTAGCAGAGGCCACTGAGGAGTCAGGAGAGATCAATAACCTGCAGTCATTTCTGACTGCAACTGTACTGGTTGCCTGGAGGCTGTCCAGCAAAACTCTCAGGCATTTCCCACTGCGCCTTTACACATGTAATGCCTCCTGGATTTGACCCACATGGAGGCTTGCTCCCACAACCTGTTCAGGAATGCTAATCATTTATTATTAATGGCTGTCCAGAAAGGGTGGTGGAAACCGGGGCGTACAAGGTTATTATTGTTTAAACATGTTCATTTTGCCTTTCTTCTCAGAAATATTATATCAGAAGATGTTGCCTTACACAGAATACCCAAACTGAAAGCTTTAGGACGTGTGAGAAAGACACAGTTAATTTAGAACAGAAGATAAGACATTTCCTTGAGGAAGCACTAATACCAGGCCTTTTAGCCCTCAAGTGTCATTTCAGATTACTGTACTACGGAGAAAGGCCTTCTAAATCTTTTTTATTAAAAAAGATTTGTCTTTTCTTTAATAAAGAAAGTTCCTGCCTAGAGGCTAAACAGTTTTAAACTAATTCCTCAATTACATCCCATTCCTGGACAGTTTATCAAAAAAGGAGGATGCAGCTTGTCTGTTGCCTTGTTAATTACATCAGACCAGAGAAAGGTTTCCTCAGTGACACAAATGGAATAGTTACATAAAAAAGATGATTAGAAATAGAAAGCCCAGACATACCTAACTTGCTAAAACTTGCACAGACACATCTATATGTGCGAATATACGTGCATACATGTTATAATAATGCACGAAAACTGGTGGCATAATTGTCCAAACTTGGTGGCTGAAACAACAGTTGAGCAAACAACTTTACTCAGCTTCTCTCTCCCTTTTTTCTGGCTGAAAGTTGGAAAGCATCAAACCCACTGATTTTAATCTACATAAGGTTTTGATTCATAAGCAATGAAATGACCTCACAAAAAGAAAAAAAAAATGCAGAAATCCTTTTACCTGCATGCTCTGAGTAGAAACACTCAAAAAACGTGACCCAGACTGGCTCAGTCCTGACACATTGGGTGAAGAATGGCACCTTGTAGCAGCCCATTTTTATTCCCAAACTAAGGAATGAGATTAGAACAAAGTCCTTGCTTTGACTGGTGTAGCTACTAATCTCAGGAGACTCCTGGAAAGCATGGATCCCTTTAGTATAGATGACACACTGGAAGATGTAAAAAGCATTAAACAGATATGGTTAATTATCTGTTAGACGTTCTTTTGGTAAACTGGTGTCTTATCTACTTCAGAGGTCTAAACACAAAGGCTTAGGTGCACTCTAATTTTTGGGACAGCATAATTAAAATGGCACTGCAGGCTGATGTTTCTAGAGATACATGGTTGCCTTCAGGCTTTGGGTAACCATATGGTGCACAGAACACTTATCTGTTAGGGTGCTTTGGGGTGTTTTGTCCCTCAAACTCTTTCCTACCAACTGCACTTTCTTCTTCTTGTGTTTGAATAATGGTCGCATTTCCTCTGATCTTTACTGAAGAAAAAACTTTTTCCTTTTCAAACTTAATCCTTACCCATTGTTTTCCCAACCTCTAGACTGCAAGAAACAGGATTTCTTTAAAAAAAAAAAAAAAAAGAAAAGAAAGTCTAATTAAGCCATTTATCAAGCTTTTCCAAGTGGGCAGAGTGACAAATTAGCCCTATCTTCCACCAACAATCTGATGGATGGGAAGATAAAGATGCAGAGGCTGTTATTTCAGCTGGAAGCTCTTTACTATATCAATTGTTTGGCCCTAAGCCAAAAGACCCTAAGAGCTGACAAGAACTAATGATGAGTCCATGGGAGGTTTATGCAGCATGAAGCCTAACATCAAAGGAATCTGCCCTTATTTCCACTCCTTCCATGCCTTCTCCCTGAAAAAATAATCTTGTTTTTTAAAAACTGTTTACTTGACCATCTTATTCTCTCAGTGGATGGAAAGAAAATGCAAACTGTAAATAAATTTGCACACTGATATATCGCTGACCAGTTCTGTTTTTCTCTGCAAATATAAAGTGATCATTATGCTTTTAAGTCCACCAAGTGAGTCTGAGACAGGCAGACTGCAAATAGGTTTCCCTAGAAGTCTTTATTTTACGCCATTTATTCAGAAGAGCTGGACTCCCTGAGAGCCTTTATGCCAGACATAAGCTGTGAATGTGGAAGCAGGCACAGAGTCCTGGTCAGGGGAGGTCACGACCCTCAAAATTGCCCTGGATTGCAATGCACTGAAATCAGGTGCACAGCAGTTGTGGCAGGGTCAGGACCAGAATGCCAAGTTTTTCTGGATTCAGAAGGGGAATGGGAAAATTCATGGCAGAAAAATTCTTTTAAGAGTTGGATCAAGCCTGCATCATCTCTGATGCCAGGAAAGAATTCAGGGGAGATATCACTATTCGCTTTTGTGTACTTATGTCCTTCCCAAGTATTTACTCTTGGTGCTTTTAGGATACAGGGGTTTGGGTGAGGTGGATCTTGGGTCTGACACTGGTTTTACATGATGGGATCACTTTCAAAGTCTGTAACTTAAATCTTTCTCCCTTCTCCCTACAGTTTTGTAATATGCATCCATTTTACATATAATGGAAATCCTATGTACAAGTTGGAATACAGTTGCTACTCTACTGGAAAGCAGGAAGAGAGGATGTAACACCCAGGATAACTTCTAAAAAAAATCCCAAACTAACAACAAAGAACAAATCTATGTTTTGATACATGATTTTAAAAGTTTGCAAACAAGCCATTTCTGAAGATGATCTATGTTACTGGGAGTTAGAAGTAAAATCCATATTTTTTTCAATGGGAAACTATTTAAAGATGATTCTCAATGTCCCATCTTTTATTTACTTTTTTTCCTTGCAGAACTAGAAGAGTATTGAACTTACTGGCATAATGAGAAACTGTAGTATTGCATCATAAAATCTAACTCCGGTAATTCTGATCAGGCTGAATATACCTAATCAGCTTGATTCATCTTTTCAATGGAACATTTTTTACAGTATGAAATTAAAAACAATAATGCAATGAAAAGACAACAGCATTAGCACTCAGTGCAGAGCCATATTCAGCACATCCTACAGCATTTTACCTTTGTTTTCCTATCTGGATTTAACAGTATGTGTAGAAGCAGCACAGTGCAAAACTAGGGTATGTGATTTATCTTGAACTTTCCCGTGTCTTGATAAAATGCACTGTACTCATCTTTCCCCTGGTTACCTTACCCAAAAGGATGAACAAGTGACTTTTCACTCATGGAATTTTCCTCTCTTGTAACTTTTCAAAAGAGGGCATGCCATTTAGCCTGAGACATAAAAGCAATTTACCTTGCTTTATCAGCTGTAGCAATGTCCATGAGCTCTGATGTTTTTTTTTGGAAACATCTGGGAGTACGTGAGGTTCAGCGTAATCATGGAATGGAAAAGAAAAACCACCAACCAACCAACCAACCCTTTTTAATATTAAAACCTTACTCAGCAACTTCAAAACAAGGAATTAAAATTCTGATTGAGAATACAATGCAAAACATGTAATACCGTAGTAATTCAGTTTCTTCCTGCTGATGTGCTTGATACCTTTAAGTACATAATGTACTTTCCTAACTGTTTAGTGATAATAGGACTGCTTAGGAATCAGTCATTCACTTGCAACACTTTTGATGAAACTAAAG